TTCATGTGTTTACCACAACCCATCCCTGAGTCTCCAATGGAGTCCAAGTTTTAAAGACCAAGTAGTGCAATAATTCAGCATCTCTTTAATAACTAAAAGAAAATGAGGTGGTGCTGTTTGCTGTTGTTTTTAGGATTTGCTTCTTTGGAAGGGGAGAGGGTTGGAAAATATTTCTTCCTGAAGTTAAGGTAAATATAACTTAAAAAAATAAAGTCAAGCAACAAGCAGTTTTGCCAAAGGCCCAGAAGATTGGTAGATGTTGTAAGATTAAAAACAAGCCAAAAGATAAAAAACAAAGGCTTCAGGGCAGGAAATTATATTTTAAAAGAACTTACTGTTTCTGACAATGTAGGAATCAAGGAAACAGGCTGTGTATGGGATGGTGGTGATGGCCGGATAAGGGCAGAGGAGATAGGAATGGATAACGCAGGAAATTATATTAGAGAAATGAAGAAGAAAAACTAAATAGGATCTAATTGTTAATCCAAATGATGGCTAGTTTGGAAAACAATCAAAATTCTGCATTGTGTTTTAGAATTAATCTGTTCAAGTTATTTATCTATTTCACTCGAAAGTAACTTTTCCCAAAGGAATTTTAACCATGTTCCTAATTCTAGAGGAATATATACAGTCTTTTCTTTTGCTTGAGTTTATCAGAACTCAATTAATGTGGTCACAGTCAGAAAAATCAACCTTCCATAGCAAACATAATTTGAAGCTTTTAAGGAAAAAACATAGTTCTCTACAACCAATATTTTAATAAATATAATTTGCTACAATGAGTACTCTTCACCTTAAGGATTCAAGGCCAAAGTATTACAGGAAAACTCTTAGCAATTGACTGAAACTCAAACTGTAGATGACAAGATGTTGAATAAGTCTCAATGTAACCTAAATTTTGGTAGGTTCTGTAAAGAGATTTTCTCATCATCTTTCTTTAGCGCCGCGCCCTCACCACTCGGCACACACCACACACACACACTATTCAGAATGCTTGCACCCTCTCACTTGTGCTCCTGATCGTTAATCCTGGCTTCTGGTTTCAATGTTAAGAAAAGTTGAATTAAAGATATTTGGGGATCATTTCTGGGCTTCCCTGCTGGCTCAGGGGTAAAGACTCTGCCAGCAATGCAGGAGATGCAGGAGACTCCAGTTCAATCCCTGGGTCAGGAAGATCCCCTGGAGGAGGGCATGGCAATAGGGCACTTCATTACCATCTTTTTAAATTCCATATATATGTGTTAGTACACTGTATTGGTCTTTATCTTTCTGGCTTACTTCACTCTGTATAATGGGCTCCAGTTTCATCCATCTCATTAGAACTGATTCAAATTAATTCTTTTTAATGGCTGAGTAATATTCCACTGTGTATATGTACCATAGCTTCCTTATCCATCCGTCTGCTGATGGGCATCTAGGTTGCTTCCATGTCAATAGGGCACTTCAATATTCGTGCCTGGAGAACCCCATGGACAGAGGAGCCTAGTGGGCTATGGTCCATAGGGTCACAAAGAGATGAATACGACTGAAGCGACTGAACACACAAGGCACGCACAGGGGTCATCTCTAATTTTACGCTGAATATGAGATTTTTCAGAAATGAGTCCAAGGAACTGGGTGTCTGGGAGAAAGGTGGTGGCATTCAGCCAGTCATGATTTATTGAGCAACTACTAGGGGGCCAAAAGTGGAATGAAACAGAAATCTCTGCCGTCTGGAGCTTACATTTTAGGGTGTGTTGGGGGAGGGGAGGAAGACTAATAAACAAAATAAAAGAGTAAATCAGTAAAAATTAGAATGGAAGAAATAAAGCAGAGAAGGGGCACAGTGGTTCCAGGGGTGAGGGTGGCTGCTCTGTCCAATTCAGTCGCCACTGGTCATATGTGACTAGTTGAATTCAAACTAGACTTCAATGAAGTTAAAACTTCAGTTCCTCAGTTTGCACTCATTGAATTTCAAATGCTTACTGGCCACCATGTTGGACAGTGCTGATATAAAGATGTATATGGAACGTGTCCATCATCATGGAAGTTTCCATTGGACAGTTCTGCTCTACAAAGAGCAAGGCATCTGGTATCGCTACAGTGGTTGAGCAAGGGAAAGAGTAAGAGACGACATCACGGAATTTAAAGGAGCACAATTGTACAGGAGCCTGATGGCCATTGCAGGAACTTTTTTTCTGAGATATGAAGTTTGGAGTGTTTTGCCATAGGAGTGACTTGATCTGACTTGGTATTTAGAAGAATAACTTTGGGTTATTTTTTTTTTAAGTAACACAAATAAAAGATGACCAAAGGTGTATGAGCATGCCAGCGGAGGTGGGGACGGTGTGGAATGTGCTCAGGTTCTGCACAAGCTTAGAAACGAGTACCAACGGATTCTGCTGGTGAGAAAGTAGTGGAGTGTGTCATGATAAAGACTGTGACTAAAGGAAAGAAGCCAGTGTTTGTGGCATGGGAGAAGCTAGGGTCAGTCTTACACTGATTTGACTTTGCAATGACAATACCACAACTGAAAATGTCCAATGGACATTTGGAGAAGTGAGAGCTCAGATGAGAAAAGGATCTGAGTATAGATATGACATTCATCAGCATAGGGGTAAGAGATGAAACAGGAATGGAGGTGGAAGAGAAGGTTTCTAAAGTCTGCCCTTGAAGAACAACTATGAGAGGGGTGTGGGTAAGACAAGGAGACAAACAGAGTCTTAGAAAAATGCAGGTGTTGACAGTCAAATGCAATAGAGATGCCAGAAAGTTGAAAGAGAAATGATGATGCCCGAGGAACGGCCACAAAATTTGTAAAGGCACTGATCTCTAAGAGTTCAGTCTCCACTAATTATATGTGTGTATTGGAGATGGGGAGGGCCACAAGTGAGGAATCTAAATAGAAATGGTTTTGGTGAGAACAGAAGAATGGGGTGCACCACTGTTAGTGAGAAGAGAAAGTACAGTAAACTTTGGCATTTCTCAGAACTTACAGGTCATTTCTAAAACAATCATTTAATTTGGTCCAGCCACTACCAGTGTCATTTGTGTTCAACATTGTCTAATGACAAGCTGAACACACTTGTTAATGGCCCAAGTTAATTTCGGCCACAGGGCAAGAAAAACATTTTCTGTAAGAAGTAGTTTTAGAAGGGAAAATACATGTATTAGGATTTGTTAGTCTCATCCTTCTGAGATTAGGTAACAAGTAGCCACTTCTAAAGGTAGGTGGTGGAGGGAGCCCAGGGCTTTGTGCTAATGGTGAATTTTAATTTTCCTGCAATTCTGATGGAGAAGGAATAATCAATATTGGTTCTTTAAATGTGGGCAAATGGGGTAAACACTAGAAAAGCAGGCTAAGGAGAAAGCCATAGTGCTTTGAGCTCCCCTTGTCCCAGGAGCCTGGTTACAAGGTGGATAGGAAAGCCCAGGGACTCATGATGGCAGGCAGCTGCATTTTCCTGGTAGGATTTCAGAAACAAGCTAATCTAGACTCAAAAAATTGAGATCCAAAAAGGAACTTAACCCATCATCAATTCCAGTCTTCCAGTTAGCTGAGGAGGTACTGAGACCTAGAGGTTAAATAATTTGCCCCAAATGATTCAGCTTTTGTCGTTGTTGTTTGTTGTTGTTTAGTCACTAAGCCACCAGGCTTCTCTGTCCACGGGATTTTCCAGGCAAGAAAGAACAGTGGTGTGGGTTGCCATTTCCTTCTCCAGGGGATCTTGCAGAACCAGGGAATGAACCAGCATCTCCTACACTGGCAGGTGGATTCTTTACCACTGAGCCACCAGGGAAGCCCCAATGATTCAGCCAGTTCTCTGCAAAGTCAGACCTAAAAGCTGGCAGGGTGGGGCTGATTCTGGGTCCCCAGCTCTTTTTCCTGCATTATTCTACTTGCTGTGTGAGAATAGGACTCTCCTTTTTTTTGTTATTGTTCCGTGGCTAAGTCATGTCTGACACTTTACGACCCCATGGACTGTAGCCCACCAGGCTCCTCTGTCCATGGGGATTCTCCAGGCAAGAATACTAGAGTGGGTTGCCACGCCCTTCTCCACGGGATCTTCCTGATCCAGGGATCAAACCGGAGTCTCTTGCATTGCAGATGGACTTTTTTTTTACCAGCTGAGCTACAGCATAGAACTCTCCTTTTTAAGACAGACCAACTGAAGCAAATTCTGCATTGGAGTTCTACTATCTGGATGGGGAGATGAACGGGAGCTGGAGTGCCGAAGCAAATTCTGCATTGGAGTTCTACTATCTGGATGGGGAGATGAACGGGAGCTGGAGTGCCGAAGCAAATTCTGCATTGGAGTTCTACTATCTGGATGGGGAGATGAACGGGAGCTGGAGTGGGGTTGGGGGTGGGGGGTATTAATGAGATTTGAAGAACCCTACTGGGTTTGATGACAGAATATTGGCTTACAAATGCCTTGACAACAGGCCTTCTGAAATCTGCCCTGGTGTTGAAACTGCCTTACTTGCCATGCTGATCAGCACACAAGTGAAACTCGCAAGGTTGACTAGTGTCCGTTTCATTGACTTCTGGGTACTAACTCCTGGGTATATTTCTATAAAAATCTTATCCGCAGAGTGGGGACACTTGCGGAAAGGCAAGAGGAGGGATGTAATAAATAATAACAATTTGAGTCGGGGTATCGGGGTGGACTGCAGGTAGAGGGGACTGGAGGAAGAGTGACAAGCTAGACCGGACCTGGGTTACTTGCAGGGCTTTCCCGTTGCTAGGACCGCCAGCGTCCTTGACTACCGCTCGCTAAAATAGGAGCTCTCCTCTGCTACGACCAGTCCAGCGCTTCGCGGACCGCGCCACCTCGCGCCGGAAGGAGAAAAAAGAATCGCATTTCCCTGCTTCCCTCGGTGCGGGTCCCAGTGAGGAATCAAAACTGCGGGACTTGGCAAAGCAGTCACGCGGAGGCCAGTCCTAAGAACCTCCCGCCGAGGGTTGTGCAAGGAACTAGAGGGAGGGCGAACTCCGGGGGTCTTCCCGTCTGACTCACGTTGTACTCCCTCAGCCAGGACTCTAGCTTGTCCTGCAACGACCGTAAAGCTTCGTTGGAGACCAGTCTCCTCAGGTTATCTGCCATCGCTCGCTCTTCCGCTCGGCCCGCTCTGGGAGGTGGACTCGTGGACCGCGGGGTGAGGTGGCGGGAAAGGTGTTCTCTTCCTGAGGACCTCAGAGCGCGGCTGGTGTTTCCATCCTCCCCCCTCGGGTCGGACTGGGCAGGGTTCGAGAAGCCGGGGGGAGGTGACCTGGGCCACAGCCGCCGCGCCTCATTCGCTGCCCCGCGCCTGGTCTCCCGGCTCCCGCGCGGCCGCCGGGAGCCAGGACAATAAATACCCGGGCGATTATTAAACAAACCTTGACGTGGGCGCGCGGCAGCTGGGGACGCGCGCCGCCCGTTTCCTGGCAACGCCCGCGCCGCTGCCCAGCCCCATCGGAGGGCCCTATCCGCCTGCAGCCCCGCCGCCCGCATCCCTCCTGCCCCCCACCCACTCCCACCCGCCTGCGGGTCCGGGGCACCGCCGGGACGCGCCATGCCGCTCTTCCTCATGCTACTGATGCTCAGCCTCATGCTGCTGCTGGTGGCCGAAAGCGAGAGCCCCCAAAGTCTGTGAGACTCCGGGTTGGGCCGGCGGCTGGAAGACGCTAAGACTCCAGATGGCAGCCACCCGACCCTGATGGATAGAGAGGCGCCCTCAGTGTGGGGATGCTGGGCAGCCGGAGGCCTCTTGTCTAGGAAAGCAAACGTTACTTCTTTCTAGACGTTTTTGCTTAGGCGGTGAAGAAAGCAGTTGTTTGACTCCTTCCTATATTCTTTCACGTCTCAAGACTTTACTTCTTCCTTTGTAACACCTAGGATTTGGCGGGTGCCCAGCTAAATAGCTTTTAGCTCCAGGATGTTCACAAATTAAAGTCAATCAGGTTTAAATAAGATTTGGTCAGGTTTTAGAATCATTAACCACTCTAAAGTTATTTAATTATAAATTCTCTAAGACTTTGTGCAAGTTTAGAGCCGGTTTGGCACTATTTCAAAAGGTTTATTAAGCCACAGTGGCAGTCTGGACTACTTAAGAAATGAAACCATTTCAACCATCACTAAGCACTTTCGTACCCTTATTTTCAATGTCGTCAAATGATGTGCAGATTGCAAATCATCCTTATCTATCTTTTTTAAAACAGAGCAGATGGAAGCAGGACCTCAGCTAGTCAGTTAGCTAGTTTAATTCAGTTTCCTTTTTTTTCAGGTATTTAAGAATTATGAACATTGAACATATCCACTGACGGTAAACTTAAGACTTTTTGCCCCCACCCCGCTTTTTTCCATTTAATTAGTGGTTTTACTGTCCTCTGATAAAAATGAAAGGCTCATTCTGGAGTCTGTGTTCTTACTATCTTCTGTAGATCACAAAATAAGGACTATAAAAGTCCTCACCACAAAAAAAAACTTGTAACTATGTCTGGTGATAGATATTAATTAGACTGATTGTGGTGACTATTTCACATTATATACAAATATTGAATCACTATGTTGTACATAATGTATTATTATTTTAATTATATATCAACAAAAAGAAAAAACAAAGAATATAAAGAGAATACACATTTTATCATGGTGCAATAACAATTGCTAAAGTGCAAAAAATAAATATTCATTACTGACTTTCTTTAAAAAATATAAAGAATGAGAAAAGCAATGAAGAAGAATCTTACCGATTTCTTAACTTAATGCACATTTTTATAGGTAACTAGAATCTTTGAACAGTCTGCCTTACTTATAAAAACCAAGTTGGAATATTTGCTTAGGTCAAACTAAGGGTTAAATCCTCCTCCTTGCTGTTGCACTTTAATTAACCTCTAGTCCTTGTTTATATCATTTTGCATACCTGTGTGCTCAGCTGCTTCAGTCGTTTGGGACTGTTTTATCACTACAGCCTGCCAGGCTCTTCTGTTCGTGGGGTTGTCCTGACAAGAATACTGAATAGTGTTTCCTTTCCCCATTTCCTCCTCCAGGGGATCTTCTCAACCTAGGGATCAAATGGCGTCTCCTGAGATGGATTCTGAGCCATCTAGGAAGCCCTTGTATCATCTTACTATTGTTCCTACTTCTCAGTGTTATTAGAGACTAAATAAGATCATTCATGTGAAGTGCAATACAGTGCTTGACATGTTACAGCAAATGCTATAAATTTGCTTCCTAAATGCTCTGATTACTATTACTACAAATGTACAATAGGTCACAGTACTAATATTAAACAGAGAAGAGTAGGTTGGAAACATATAAAGCACCAATAGGGCTGCTGATTGAGTAAATTATTCAGTGGAATGTTTCACAATAGAAATCTCATTCTTGAACAGCTAGTATCTAGGAATTATTACTATATAACGTTAAGTGAAAAAAGCAGGTCTCTAAATTATATATATTGTGTTACATTATACAACATGAACCCAAGGCATGATTATGGATGATTTTAACTAGTTCCTTTATACTTTTCCGATTTTTCAAATTTCCACCATGAACACAAACTGCTTTTATGAAAACTTACTCAGAAACAGCTATCCAAAAACTTGACCACCTTCAGAAAAATGTTACTCAAAATATCAATATTTATGCCAACTCAAAATAGAATATGCTTGACCAAATGTTCATATTACTCATTTAATAGACGTATGGAGTCTTAGGATAGAATGAGTCTGAAATCACTTTAGAATATTCTACCTGACCTTATCTCTACAATACTTGACCATCACAACTAGATTCAAGACCCTTCAGGTTTCCCAGTCATTTCATGCACCCCTTAGTTTCCATAGAGCCCTGGAACATGGTTGTCCATAGCAAGAACTTGATGCTTACTAGTAACAAGCATAACTCTCAAGTACTCAAAGGAAACATTTTACATACTTATTCATTATTTATCCCCTTAAAACTTCCAAAAGAGAATCTCAGATCGCTTATAGTAAAAAGTTTGTAGAAAACATCTTTGTTGGATTTAGAAAAACATTAGTGAAAAAAACAAATATGCCCCCAGTTTAAGCCTGTGTACTAATATTGAGCCTTATTTTACATTTACTTTGGGCCTTTGTGGCAGTCAAGAAAAAAAGGAAAATAGATGGTATGATTACCATTTGATTTTTAAAGTACACATACCAATTCTTTGAATGAAAGCACATTTTTTGGTACCAGTTCTTAAATATGTTTATTCCTTTCCAAAGAGTATAGAATAATAGATGAATGTGTCCTTAATAACCTCCCCTTTGTAAAGAAAATACAGAAACAATCTTCATGTGACTTTCTTGCTCTCACCTTTGATCAATGCCAATGGGGCTAACACTAGAACACATGCCATCAAAGAGAGGGCCAAGCAATTGACACCCCGTTTCTTTGCTCTCTGGTGATGTTACTTGATACAAGCTTAGAACTTCCATACCTGTAGAAATAAGTAGATATCCTCAGAAGTGCCCTTAATGTTGATCCCTTCCTTAGCACTTTTGATGGGCGCAGGATGGCAATCGATTTAAGAGTTAGAGCCTGGAATGCAAACAGTAGATGTTGCTGATTAAAGAAGAATCCACATGCTTAGAACTATAAGCATGCACTCAACAAGGTTGAGATTCTGTTTTTTAAAGTATATATATATATATAGGATAAAGGAAGTGCTAAGAGTCCCTCAGTCATGTCTGACTCTGTGAGACCCCGTGGACTGTAGCCCGCCAGGCTCCTCTGTCCATGGGATTTTCCAGGCAAGAATACTGGAGTGGGTAGCCATTTCCTTCTCCAGGGACCCAACCCAGGGACCAAACCTGAGTCTTCCACACTGCAGGCAGATTCTTTACCATCTGAGCCACCAGGGAAAAGTGAAAGTGAAAGTCTCTCAGTCGTGTCCGACTCTGTGACCCCATGAACTATACAATCCATGGAATTCTCCAGGCCAGAATATTGGAGTGGGTTGCTGTTCCCTTCTCCAGGGGATCTTCCCAACCCAGGGATCAAACCCAGGTCTCCCGCATTGCACGCAGTTTCTTTACCAGCTGAGCTATGAGGGAAGCCTGAGCTACCAGGTAAGCCATCTATATATATATATATGAAAGGAAATAGAAAAGTAAAGGTTCTATTTGAAGAATCTTTTGATGCTCTAATTTTGTTCCTCTTTATTTCAGGATATTATCAAGTACGCATTTATTTGGGAATAAAAGAAAAATCAAATCTTTCTGGTACACTATCAGATTATCTTAGAGAAGTTGAAAGAATAAATTTGAGACGTGGATACTCTTGTTTTATCTCACACTCTTCCAGTTAGTGGTTTCTCATGACTTTACATAAGTCTTTAATCATTCTGAGCCTCACTTTTCTTCCATCTATATAATGAAAAACATGGACTGATGGACTAAGATCTCTTGCAGTTCTGACATTAACGTTTTTCCTTTTTTTTTTTTTTTAACATTGGTTATGGTTGAGATTGAGCAAATCTTGCTTGTTGTCTCAATTTATGGTTCACAATTCAGTTGAGGTCAGGCCTTGATTCTGAGAGCATTAGCCAATCAGCAAAAGTTGAACCTCTTTTATTCTGCAGGCTTGCTGAAATAACTAATAGAGCTAATCTCCAGGAAATAAACACAGGGTTTCTCCAAAGTTGCACTTTTAATAAATTTAAACTCAGCTCAAACTGACAAAATCTTCCTAACTCCCCCACCCCCAAAAAGCTCATTACTCTCTTCTTTGTGCTTTGTCTCTCTAACTTTAGAAATGTTGATATTGTTACCCTACTATGTTAAACTTATTTGTCTGCATCCTATATAAGCTTGTGAGTTTCTTAAAGAAAAGGGCAAAGGTCTATTTAGTTTAATATCCCCAGCACAGCAAGTGGCACATTCTAAGCCCTCTATAAATGTTTGTTAAACTGTTAACAAAAAGAGAAAGAAGTAAAAGAAAGAAGAAAGGAAAGCAAAGAAGGAAAGAAGGCAGGAAGGAGATGATTGGCTGCTTTATATCTGAGGTCATAACCCCATAGAGGTAGAAAAGCAAATTTAATAGCCAGTTGGTTGTTCTTAAAACATCATAATTCTACCACCCAGCCAGGAGCCTTTTTTCCTAGAGAAGTGTAATGAGCCAAACATCTGGATGGAATAGGCTTTCTGAAAGTTCTTACTTTTGTCCACTTTGAATTGTACCTGCATCAGTTAGCGGAAGAGATTTTTAATTAGGATTTTATGAAACCAACAAAAGAGCAACCAAACCCCTCAGTATAGCAAGAGCTGTGTGTGTTTTCTGATGCTTGTATGTAAGAAGCTTGTATGCAGGGAGCTCCAAGGATATACAGTGGGATCCTCATCATAATTTCCACTGGGGACAGCTGCAAACCCTCAGCAAAGGTGGCTAAACGCATAATCTGTTCTGCTCTGGGCTTCTTTTTAGGCACCCCAGTCCTCTTCTGTGTGTGCCATGCTATTCTTATCCTACAGCTGTCCATGTTAGTCCTTTGGGTCAGGGCCTCTATTACTATTTGAAGAAAATCTTTTAGCTTTTGCTGACCCAACTGCATGTGATTAAATTTAGTTTTTACTGGTGGTATTGCCAAGGCACTTTGTCTCTATGTATGAGACAGGTTGGCAAAACCAAGGCAGGGCTGCTAGTCTTAGAAACTGGGGTATTACAGATTTCTAAGATATTTATTAAGTTTCATTACTGTCTTAAGCATTGGAGATAAAAGGATGAGTGAGATACAGATCTTCCAGTTAGAGTGCCCCATTTTTTAGATGATCTTAAGACAGGTAAACAGAATACAATGCAATCTGAAATTCGTATAGAAGACTAGGAGCAGAATTAAGGGACAGACCAGCTAAAACTGCCCAGGCAGGTAGGAAGGCTCAAAGAGAACATGACATTCGAATGGATTTTTGAAGGATGAATAAGAGTGTGCTTGGAAAAAAAAAAAAAGAGTGTGCTTGACAGAAAAAGAGAAGGACTTTTCAAGCAGAAGGAAAAGAAGCAAAGCATAGGAAGTAAGGACTAGAGGACTAGAATTAGGGATAGGAATTAAGGATCAGTCAAAAGCCCAGTTACCTGAGTGTATTATTGGGACCACAGCCAAACTATTATCAGAGGCTTACTGCTAACTCCCCAAAGCGTTGAGCTGTAACAGTCTTTCTGCTTAAGTCTTCATCTTAAGATGAAGCTTGTCCTAGAGATACAGGCAGGAATCAGCCTAGAGATGCAAGTCATTCGGGGCCAGCATTTGGAAAGGATTTGCAGAACTTGATGACCAGCTAGGTACTGATCTTAGCCAAAACTAGAGGAGAGACGGGCAAGATTATAAAGGATTTACCACGTCAGAGAGCCGAATCTTCGAACTACAATTTCTCGGCAATCCCCTGAGGTAAAGTACGCAGAGAGAAACATCAGCTCCAGTCATCAAAAAGCAAGGCTGACTTAGTTCCTAGAGAAAGAAAAATTTGGCCAGCAGGTCTCTTTGGTGTTCCTGTTGAGTTAGGCAGGCCTGGGGCCCCAAGATGCTCTGGAGAAGTTTCAGCTACCTGAGGAATAGTTATCACACCTTGGTCACCACTGCCCTCTTTTTTTTTTTTTTTTTAACTAAGAGGATTATTGGATTATATTGACTCCACAGGGAAGAAGGAATGTGTTCTCGAGTTACTTGTATACCTGAATGCCTTCCTGGTGTGCAGTAAACATCTGTTAAATTGGATTCCCCAGGAGATACATCCACACTATCTTCAACCCACCTCCAAAACCACAGGAAAAAAAGCATCAGCCTTCACAGGCCCGCCAAAACTAAGAAGCATCCCCGAAGTGACTGTCCTCTTTAAGGACATTCGGTTTTCAAGATTTTAGCTGCCTGTCAGCAACTTGTTAACTTCCGTCCACGTTCTCACCACCTCCTCCGTCGTCCACATTACTCGGCAAATGCGCCCTTCCCATCCAGCCAGGGAGACCCCGACTCGTGAAGCAAAGAGCCCTGGGGATGGTACCAGCACCGCCCCCCACTCCTTGCTGGGGAATGGAGGGGAAGGGAGAGGGGTCCTCTGTATTTTGAGGGCGCCCTTTTGGAAGAATCCAGAGGCGGCCCGAGGTCGAACGGAATCCCGGTGCGCGAGAAAACGCTCCCGGAGGCCACTGTCTGGGCGCCGGGAGCAGCACAGCTGGCTCCGGAGGCCCGGGCGGGGCGGGGTCGGAGATGGGGGGCGGGGCGAGGAGCGGCGGCCCCCCTCCCGCCCCTCCAGCGCGCAAGCGCAGGCGCGCGAGGTGCGGAGGCGGCCGGGAGGGCAGCGAAGCCGGCGGCCGCGGGAAGATGGCGGCGGCGGCGACGGCAGCCGCGGAGCAGGTCTGTGAGCCCCGCCGCAGCCGGGGGCTGGAGGGCCGGGGGAGGCCGGGGTCCTGCCGGTGAGGTCCTCCGTAGGGCCGGCAGGCTGGGGCCGGGGCGCGAGGGCGGGCTCGGCGGGCGGGGCTGGGCGGGAGGAGCTGTCCGCAGCCCAGGATGCTGGCGAAGGCCGGGCGGGACCCCGGGCAGAGGCTCCGGAGCGGATAAGGGGGAGCCAGCCGCGCGCGAGCTCCCGGCCTGGCCTGGCTGTCCCTCGGCGGGGTCAGGAGGGGCGCTGTCCTGGAGGCCCGGGATGGGGTCGTGGCAGTCGGGAGCCTCCTCCAGGACGTACCGGGAACATGTCCTGCTCCGTGGCCAGCGAAGATGCGGGTAAAAATAGCCCCAGCCAACGAGCCGCCAGCCTCCGCTGATACCAGCCAAGAAACAGTCAGCTGTTGTTGGGTATCAGCTTGCGGCCACTTCTTGTGTGTCGTCCCCCTAGACTGACAGCCACGTTTCTCCTCCCGCTTTGGTTCTGGAGACTAAGTCACCAATCAGTATAAGACTGTCTCCTACCCCGTTGGTTTAAAATCATTTTTAATAAATGCTTTATCAAGTATTTCCTAATCTGCATTGTAAACTTGTAACTTAGAATAGCTTAAAAGGCTATTTTCTTCCCCAAAATCAGGCTATACATTATGCACACATTTACTCACACACAAACACACACACACACCTGTACTTACTAGAGTGATTTGTTATAATAAAAATAATTTTGATAGTTGCTTCCCCCCTGCCTTAATTATTATTTTCCTTAAAAAAGAAACTGTGGTAGGATAGTTTCTTTGGAAAAGTCTGAATTCTTCAGCATTGTTGAAAAAAATAAATGAGCCAAGTAGCCAGCATTCTGTTTTCAGAAAAATCTTGTCTGGAAAGATTTTCTTAAGTAATTAACTGCTTTTAGAGACAGAGTAGGTAGATATCACTGGAACAGTCATGCTGAGCGCCGTGAAAAATAAAAGACATGACATCTGCCTTCAAAGTTAAAGTCAAACTGCCAGATAAAAGCAGAAAAATCAGCTAAAGATGGTAGGCAAGCTACAGGACCTAACAATAAAATGTAAAGAAATGAGTGAAACTGAAAGGAGACAAAGCTTCTTGAGTTGTTGAGATTGAAATTGTCCCTTGCTTTTGTGATTTCCCTCCTGAATTATCAGCGCCTGTTTTAGAGGGTTCTTTTTTCATCTGCATCACCTGTTGATACTCTTGAAGTTCCACCTAGTTTCTATTCTTGCTTTACACATAGACTGGGCAATCTGATCCATCCCTTATTCTCCACTTCACAGTTAGGTATTTATGTCTCCAGTTGGAATTTAACTGAATTTTCCACAGGCACCCCAAACTCAGAAATTTTTAATGGTGAATGGTGCATCACGCTCACCATTAAAAGGGCTACAACCATTCATTCAGTTGGTTCACCTTGCCACAGACTTGGGAGCAGGACTGGCTCAAGGGAGCTCAGAATGGACCCACCTCTGGGTTAATGCTCTGCTCTCCCAGGCTTGGTACTTGAACAGAGAACCTCACGTTTTCTTTTTGCTCTAGACCCCACAAATTATGTATCAGGCCCTACTTGGGGGTCATATTAGATCCCCCTAAGTCACACTCACATCCAATCACTAGGTCCTTTCAGTTCTACCTCTTAAGGCCTCTCCCGAATCTTGATGTGCAGTGTCAAAATTCAGTCAAGCCCTCATTTGAACTGTTAAGGAAACCTGCTGTTGATATCTCCATCTCTAAACTCATCTATTCTCGTTCAACTCTTTTTGGTTTAATTTTGCTACAATGCAAATCTGTATCACTAACCTATTTTAAATCCCCATTGCCTTCAGAATAGAGTCTCTCATTCTTGATGTGGTACTTATATCTACTCATTTGTTGATCCCTAACCACATCTTGGGGCTTCCCAATGGCTCAGTGGTAAGGAATCCGCCTGCAAAGCAGGAGACCCAGGTTTAATCCCTGGGTGGGGAAGATCTCCTGGAGGAGGGCATGGCAACCCACTCCAGTATTCTTGCCTGGAGAATCCCATGAACAGAGGAGCCTGGCGGGGTTCAGTCCATAGGGTTGCAAAGAGTCAGACACGACTAAAGTGACTTAGCATGCAAGCACAACTACATCGCATTTCTCATTTTGTCCCATTCGTATACTCATCTTCTCCACCATCCGTATAAAATTACCGATGTTAGTTTGTACAAGATGACCTCTACTCAGTTTCATGATGTTTCCTCTGCCTGGAATGCCTTTCTCTGCACTTTACTTGGCTAACTTGTTTGTCCTTCAGTGTCCAACTGAAGCCCCAGCTTTTTTGAAGAATCTTCAACTGATGAGCTTACTTGATGAGTCAAAGGGTATTCCTCTTATGCACTCTTTCAGTTGCATTGCTTTACAACTGCACTTGCCATGTTGAACTATAATTTCTAGTGGCTCCGTCTATCTACTCTGCTGGCCTGTAAGTAAGTTTGTTGAAAGTAGGTGCTGTGCCTTGCACGTCTTGGTAGTCTGGAACATCTGGCATATAGTAACTTGTCTGTAAATGGCAAGTGCAAAGAATGAAATATACTGATGTACATGAATTGACAGAGAAAAGTAAAGAATTCATCCCAGGAAGGTAAGATTTGCCCTGTCTCTTATGTAGACCTGTATTCACACTCTGGCTGAGACTTCTAAATTGCCCATCTGACATCACTGTCATAACTCTATACTGGATCTGTGAAAATTAGAAGCAAGCTCGCTTTCCCTAAGATATTCTACTTCCTTTGGCCGAAAAACTACCAAAATACAAATTCAACTCTAAAATGTTTGCAACAACGACGCGCCCTCATAGCTTCTGCACCTCATGTGCATACACAACCTACACGACTTTTTTCAGCAACTTGTTTTGTGTTAAACCTGTTGAATAGATTGAGTGATCTTCTACAAAGCCTCTCTTACGGCTTCAGTTCAGTTCAGTCGCTCGGTTGTGTCCAACTCTGCGACCCCATGAACCGCAGCACACCAGGCCTCCCTGTCCTTCACCAGCTCCCGGAGTCCACCCAAACCCATGTCCATTGAGTTGGTGATGCCATCCAACCATCTCATCCTCTGTTGTCCCCTTCTCCTCCTGCCCTCAATCTTTCCCAGCATCAGGGTCTTTTCAAATGAGTCAGCTCTTCACATCAGGTGGACAAAGTATTGGAGTTTCAGCTTCAACATCAGTCTCCCAATGAACACCCAGGACTGATCTCCTTTACGATGGACTGATTGGATCTCCTTGCCGTCCAAGGGACTCTCAAGAGTCTTCTCCAACACCACAGTTCAAAAGCATCAATTCTTGGGTGCTCAGCTTGCTTTCTAGTCCAACTCTCACATCCATACATGACCACTGGAAAAACCATAGCCTTGACTAGATGGACCTTTGTTGACAGAGTAGTGTCTCTGCTTTTTAATATGCTGTCTAGGTTTGTCATAGCTTTCCTTCCAAGGAGTAAGCGTCTTTTAATTTCATGGCTGCAATCACCATCTGCAGTGATTTTGGAGCATCTATTTCTGCTTTATTGACTATGCCAAAGGCTTTGACTGTGTAGATCACAATAAACTGTGGAAAATTCTGAAAGAGATGGGCTTACCAGACCACCTGACCTGCCTCTTGAGAAACCTGTATGCAGGTTAGGAAGCATCAGTTAGAACTGGACATGGAACAACAGACTGGTTCCAAATAGGAAAAGGAGTACGTCAAGGCTGTATATTGTCACCCTGCTTATTTAACTTATATGCAGAGTACATCATGAGAAACACTGGGCTGGAGGAAGCACAAGCTGGAATCAAGATTGCCAGGAGAAATATCAGTAACCTCAGCTATGCAGATGACACCACCCTTATGGCAGAGAGTGAAGAAGAACTAAAGAGCCTCTTGATGAAAGAGAAAGAGGAGAGTGAAAAAGTTGGCTTAAAGCTCAACATTCAGAAAACTAAGATCATGGCATCCGATCCCATCACTTCATGGGAAATAGATGGGGAAACAGTGTCAGACTTTATTTTCTTGGGCTCCAAAATCACTGCAGATGGTGACTGCAGCCATGAAATTAAAAGGCGCTTACTCTTACCGCTTGGTGGAGTTTAAAAAATTTTGTTTGCCACATAACCCACAATGATTATCCTTGTCTTTTTCTGTTTTGCATAAGCCCTTAACCAGCCTGCTACCCCTGCAACCACAGTAAGATTCCAGCTGCCCTGTCCGCTCTTTATTGAGAGATGAACTTGCCTTTTACATCCCGAGGAAAAGTAGAAATGGTTTCTCTTCCTGGTGTGAACCATTTGAATGAAGTGGGAGCCCACCTTTAAGACTCTCCTGTACATTCACTTTCTTTCCTGTCTCCTGGAGAATCTTATTTCCCTCATTACGCTGCCCTCCTCTGAGGTATCTGCTCTTTGTCCTTCTTGGCATGTTTCCCTCTGCCATCAAACATGTGAGTCTTCCTACAAATGGTTGGAGGGAAGGGACAGAAAGACCCTAACAACAAGAACAAGCACAGTTTTCCTCTGACTGTACATAATTCTTTACTTACAGTATTCTCTCTTAATGAAAATAAATGATGAACACTTGCTGGCATCTTTTCAGGACTGTTTGTACTTACCAGTTTGCTACCCAGAGTTTGAAAATCACAGAGGTGATTCTTACCATATTGAGTTCAGCAGTGCTGCATGTCCTTAGTTTTCTTGTATTTCTCATTTTCCATTGTTCCTGCACAAAGTTTTCCAAGAGTACTTCCTTGGCTGTTTGTTCTTTTGCTCTATACAAGTAGTCCCTGACTTCCGGGACCCAGTGCCTGACGATCTGAGGTGTAGCTGATGGAGTAATAATAGAAATAAGTGCACAATAAATGTAATGCCCTTGAATCATCCCAAAACCATCCCCTTATACCCCAGTCTGTGGAAAAATTGTCTTCCATGATACTGATCCCTGGTGCCACAAAAAGGGTTGG